AGCACAGCCAGTCGCCACCCCAAATAAAGTCGTTATCGAAATCGCGGAGTATTTTCACGCCTATTGATGATCGAGGATCGGTGCTCGCCCGGCATTTTGGAGCCGGAGCGGGCCCATATGAATCCCACAATAACAATTCTCTCAAGGTCGAAGCACCACAACCTTCGCTTGCTTCCAAAACAATGCCTGTCAGAGCTGCGACAGAGGCTCCTCGTGCAGCGTCAATTGCTTCGACGCCAAAAATCAAACCTCCATCCCGAACTAACAGTGGACCGTTGCCGTCAAAACGACCGCAGTTAAAGGTGCAGATCCCTAGCGAAACCTCAGATGCTGGCAGTGCCACGGCCGACTCGTCACGCGATTCCGCTGTGAATAAAAACTCCCCGCCTGCGAAAGGGAATGTCGAAAATGGCCCCCCGGGCGTGGTCTTACCCCCTCCGTCGCCATCAGCCGGTGCAATACTTAGTGCGGGAGCCCAAGGGCCTCCAAATCCGTTCGCCCGACCGCCTCCTCCCGTTGCCGCAACGCGAAACGACTCTTACGGCAGCAATAGCGGAAATCCGAACAATGGGAATAACTCGAATAACATTGAAACGCCGATATCTGCCCTGCCGAGTCGCTTTGTATCCGATGCACTCCTCCCGTCACCTTCCAGCTTCTTCCCCGAATGGGGCTTTGGCCGCTCAGGTCCAGACTCCAACATGCTGCCCAGTCCGCTCACCTTCCCGACTCCGGCAGTGCAAAGCGGTCCCGGCTTTTCTCGAGAAGACGAACAAGACAAGAAGAGAAAAAGCCCGGACGATGGATCCGCAGAGGAAGGTGCAAATAAAAAGCCGAAAACCTGAAAGCATCCCCTTGGGGAATTGTCCCCGTACTGTAAAGTGCGGGCATTATGATCAAGAGACTGTCCCTGTGGACATACAATCTCATTTTCTTGTCAATACCCCATAACTCCTTTTACCCGGGGAATATTTGAATGTCTCCATTTCTAGTTCGATCAAGCTTCGCAGTTATGTATCCTCTCTATACCCCGGTTATTGTCATTCCTTCATTTCTTTCGCCATTTTCCTTCTGTCTTATTTCTTTTCAATGACGTTTATTACGTGGATCTTGAAGTGATATACACTAGCGCTGTCTTGTGTCAACTTTTACTTTCATTTATTTCTTATCTCTTGATTCTTTAATCGTTTTGGTAGAGACCTGGCGTTGGGTCTGCTTTGACTGCTTTGACTCTTGGATGTATATAAAGCAGGTTCTTATTTCTAGGAATGATGCCAATCTTTTTCTCTCCCTGCCCACGTTGATTCCGGTTCTTTCCAGCCTATTAAGCCGTAAACTTCCCATTTACTTGATTCGAGGACTAAACCCCCACTTCGGTGTTCGTTCGACGGACGACCAAACACCGAAAGACCCAATTGGGCAGGTATATAAGTTGAGATCAACCCCCGCTTTTTGTACTTTGATTCCACCAAGGTATCTCTTCACACATACTTCCTAAGTATATCCTGCATCTATCCAAAATGACTCTCACTGGAAGCTGCATGTGCGGCGGTATTACTTATGCCGTCGAAGGTATATCAATTTATCCAACCCAGATACTTCCAAAGCTAACAAGATACTAGCTGACACATATGTGTCCGCCCTGTGCTACTGTATCGACTGCCAGAAGGTGAAACCCAAGACTTATACTTACGAATGCACATTGAACATATTCTCTAATACCCAATAGTGGACTGGCGGTGCATTTACCTCCAATGTGGTCGTTCCCCGCACCACCTTCAAATTGACAAAGGGTAAATCTACGCACACCACACGATCAACTCCTTACATACATGCAGTCTTTCTAACTCCACACTTCTACGCAGGTACCCCCAATACCTACGATATAGTTGGCAACAGCGGAAAGATCAACAAGCACTTCTTCTGCCCGACGTGCGGTTCAGGTCTCTACACAGAGCTGGAGCTCAACCCCGACAACGTCGTCGTCAAGGCTGGAACCCTCGACGGCGGCGAGGCCAATCTTAAAGGGAAGGTCGATGTCGAGTTCTATGTTAAGGACCGTCCGACCTACCTTGCTGCTGTTGAGGGTGCTAAGCAGGAGCCAATGTTTGGTTGAGTGGTGGTCTTTCTGGAGAATTGATCAGAGGAAAACTGGTAGTAACGAGGCTTATATTCGAGAATAAATTCAAACGTTTACCATCCATATGGCTCACTTCAGACTCTCTACAAGAGTCCCCAATGTTCGCTCCACCGTCCGGTGTCCTAAGGGCTATTTAGACCCCCAAATCCCTCATCCTCATCCATATCCTCATTCATTCCTGATGGAACCATCATCAACTATGTCTTCCCTGAACATCATCTGCGAGGTCACTACGCCGCACGTCGCTTCCCAGAGCGAGCCATGGTCCACCTCACTATAGAATCGACAGGTGAAACCGAAGAGATGGCCTCCCACGACGTCGCCTTGACCTGCGACGATCTGAGAGCGACCCTGGAGCCCCTCTGTCCCAGAGAAGAAGATGGGACCGCAACCCCCGACGCTGCCGTACTAAGTCTCTCCGCTAGCCACATATACATGGCAACCAAGAACCGCCATGAATACGACCCGAGAGATTTCGATAGTCCGGGCATCTACGATGCCGTCATCACGATGGGGGCCGTCTTCTGTGACTTCAACGAGCTGCGCAGGATTCATTCGCAAGGTGGATATGTATGGGAATGTCATATTGAATAAACATCACCTGGTACCTCACCGATGCTACTAAGGATGAGATTGGTGCGGAGTCGCGTAAGGAGGCTGTGCTCGATGCTGTTACCAAGGCGAATCAGTATGCTCAAGCTGCTGGCTTTGAGGACATTACCCCTGTGGATATTAGGGAAATTGATGAGCCCTCGAATCCTTCGGCTCTTCGGCAGAGGCCAACCTATCGCCACCCCAGTGTGGTGAACTTGTCGCCTCAGGATATGCTCAATTGTTGTGTGCAGGTGGTTTTTGAGACCGGGTGCGATCTTGGATCTGGGTCTAGGACTGATTGAGCAATACTTTTAAGGTTTCGGGGTTTGATGGAGGGACGGAGAAGGGTGCTGGACAATCTATGCTTACAGATGGAATGGGCTTTTAAATTGATTGCTGTTCTGCGCTTTATTACTAAGTTGACATACTCGTTTTCAATTTGGTATTTTTTCTAATCTATAGGTTTTCTCTAAATAAAAATTTATGGATCTCCTAGTTCAGTGCTCGGCTTTTGATGTAGGGACGATGATATCTTCATGTCAAAGCTTGGCATTTGACATCAAGAAAGGGAAAAAGGCCATGGGAAGTAGTTTGAATAAGATTTTACTGGAATAATAAACCAGAGACTCTACGCTTTACTGTTGTGAACATCATCAACTTGGAAGGCTGAAATGCCCTAAACGATATCTTTACCTGTCACCGCCCACGCCCTTCGGGTAACTATTCGTATCTCTCCACTTGGAGATACTCAAGAGTTGCCATTTGCGGTAGCCGACAGTAACCGACCCTGTGAATACTTGAAGGACTTGCTCTGCTACCAATTGCTACCAATTCATTCTCTACACTCACTCACTTGGCCTAGTTTTCCAGTGAAAACTTTTCCAAGACGGGCTCGAAAATGACTCACTCAGTTCTCTCCCGGCGGGCACAAGATGTTGTCGATGCCGGATCCGAGAATCCCATGTGGGACGTGATGAAGGATACGTGGCACGCATCAACAAACCCAAACGGCTACGTCAATGTGGGCGTAGCAGAAAACGCCCTGATGCACGACGAGCTCTTAAAATTCATCAACAAGAAGCTCGAACTGCCAGCAAAGTACCTCACATACAACGACGGCGGAGGCGGCTCTTCCAGATTAAAGGCCGCCATCGCCGCCTTCTTGAACCACAACCTGGAGCCAGTGACACCTCTCGAGCCGAGCCATATCATGACGACCAACGGTGTCTCGTCTGCGGTCGAGCATGTTGTGTGGTCATTCGCTGATCCGGGTGAGGGAATCCTTCTAGGAAGACCGTACTACGGCATGTTCATTCCGGACATGTCGCTGCGTACGGGCAGCTCTGTGGTTCCTGTTAGTTTCGGAGAACATGATCCTCTTAGCATCGAGGGCGTGGATAAGTACGAAGAAGCATTGCTGGAGTTCCACCGAACAACCGGAAAGAAAGTCAAGGCTTTGATGCTAGCCCATCCTCATAATCCGCTCGGACGCTGCTATTCCAGAGAAGTGATCGTCAAGTTGATGCGACTCTGTCAGAAATACCAGGTCCATTTCATCAGTGATGAAATCTATGCGCTTTCCGTCTTCGAAAATACTGTCGATGAACATCCCCCGCCTGTCAAATTCGAATCTGCCCTCTCTATCGATCTGACTGGCATTATCGACCCGCGCTTGGTTCATGTCCTTTGGGGTATGAGTAAAGACTTTGGCGCAAATGGTATCAGACTCGGGGTCATTATTTCCCAGGCCAACCGTGATGTTCATATGGCGTTGACCGGCCCATCACTTTATTCGTATGCTTCTGGAATCACAGATCACTTGACTGCTCTCATTCTTGAAGACTTCGACTTCACTACCCGGTATATTCAGCAAAATCAGAAACTGCTGTCAGAGTCCTATGCATACACGGCGAACTACCTGAAAGACCACGGAATTGAATATGCAACAGGATGCAATGCAGCATTCTTTGTCTGGATGAACCTGGGAAAGAAATACCGCGAGCTCCACCCGGAGGATGAGTGCGAGGATGTTGGGGAACGGATCATGCAGCGCCTTTTGCAAAAGAAAGTCTTTTTGGCCAGCGGCTTTCTCTTCGGGTCTGAGAAGGATGGGTGGTTCCGAATTGTGTTTACACAGGGCCATGACTATTTGAGCGTGGCTTTAGAAAGGATAAACGCTGCACTTGAGGAATAGAATAGTCTCATGTCATCACCACAAAATCATCATGCATCAGTTTGGAGTGAGCTTGTCAATTCGCATGCTATATCAAACCTTGGCACCTTTCTTAGCTAGCATTTCTATAATCTCTGTGTGGCCTTGTTCAGTTGCCGCATCGAGCGCCGTTCCACAAAGTTCCCCTTTCACAGTGACGTCGGCCCCATAATTGAGGAGCAATGCAATGATTGCTCGATGACCTTCTCGCGCAGCCATCTGAAGCGCTGTGGTCTTCCTTTCGCCTTGGAAATTGACATCAGCTCCGTTCTCGAGTAACAATTCGACGACACCTTGATGACCATGATCTGACGCCGCCTGGATTGCTGAGCTATCATATCCACCTCTGATGTTCGGATCGGCTCCATTCGCCAGGAGTATTGCGACGACATTTTGCCAGCCTCGTCTAGATGCTGTCTGTAGTGCAGTGCCGTGTCTTTGGTTATTATAGTCGGTGTTAGCACCTTTCTTTAGCAGATCAATGACAATATCTGGGTAGTTGAGAGCAGATGCTGTGAGGAGCGCCGAGCCGTAATCTCTATTTCCGATGATGTTGACGTTCGCCCCGCTCTCGAGTAGGATTTTGACGACCTTCGGGTGGCCTGAGCGACATGCTCTGTACAGCGCTGTTCCCTGCCTTTCGTGGTTATAGTTGACGTCTGCACCCCTTTCCAGGAGGCTGAGGACGATAGCTGGGTTGCCGAGATGCGAGGCCATGTAAAGTGCTGGAGCGTGATGTTCGCCTGCGATGTTGACGTCGGCGCCCTTTTCGAGGAGGATTGGAACAACGTCCTGGTGACCGTAGACCAGAGCTGTATGGAGAGCCGTGCCGTGTAGTCTGTGATAGGAGTTGATATTGGCACCTTTATCCAATAGTAGCGTGACGACATCTGATTGGCCTCCGAGGCATGCCGCTGAAAGTGCCGGTCTTGAAGATTTCAGTGCCGGTCTCGAAGACTCGTGTTCAGTGTTGACATCAACGTGTTCGTCTGACAAGATATTCTCGACCACTTGCTTCAATCCGAAGTAACTCGCCAAAGACAAATCGGTCATGTAATGGAAGAGTGTTAACCTAATTTCTGATACCCATCCAGAGGCTGCTACCCACACCCATGCCTGATGGCGGTTACAAAGTGTACGCGCATCATTTAGGGACTGGTCAATGACAGTGGGTTCCTGCGATAGAAAGTGTAACGGCCAATGATCGGCGGCATAGCAGAAAAACGGAGGCAGTTGTTCCAAAGTAAGGTTGTTTGGGTCATTTAGGTCATATTCATCGTCATCCCAAAAGTCAGTGTCTTTAACAGAGGTGCGAAGATCAGGGAGCATCAGTAACTTAAGACAAGTTCTTGATATGGTTCTGGATGATTTAGACATGCTCAAGCGTCCTTCCCATGTACCCCGACCTGAAGGGTCAATGAGGAACTCCCTTGCCGTTTGATGAATGAAGAACAGCTTTGAATCGTGCACGCTGATGAAGAGGCCACTTAGGCCCTTCACAATGCTTTCAAAATTGTTCTTAGGCCAGAGATCATTTTCTAAGGCTGCGTGTGATGTGAAATCTTCTTCTGCTAAAGCCAATGTCAAGGCGACATTGGCCTCGTCAAGAGTAAGAGGCCGCGCTGCAGCAAGGATGATCTCAAGAAGATGTTGGGTTTCATCTTGGCATCTGCTTCTGCCCAGAATTTTTTCATACGCCTCGGATAACTTTGATGGGATATTGTTCAACAGTTTTTCGATGCTGGACCGCTTCCCGTGGCGGCTCGGGTCCTCTTTGATTGTTTCGAAAATGACATAAAGCCATAAGTAGGTGCGGTTTTCCATGCTTTTAAGGCGTTTAGAGATTTCTAGCTGATCATCTGCAGTGAAGTTGGCTGTGATCTGGCTCACATGATCGTCAATTACCAGGTCAATCTCCCGCGTGATGGCGAGAGACTTCTTATCGCCGTCAAAATGCAGATACTCTGTGAACCCACCAAAACTTCTCTCTATCTCAGCGTATGGTCGACTGGTTATAAGGAAGCTCAGTTTCGAAGATAATGCAGAGCCCTGTGGCTGGCAATAGAAGTCTTTGAGTTTGCTGATCAATTGCAACCTGCTTTGTTGCTCGCATTCATCCAAAGCATCGAAAATGCAAACAATTTCTCCAGTGTGAGGGCTCTTGGCACAATCAAGAAGGATATTCCATAGTTCAGAGAAGTTCCTTGTAAGAGATTTGCCGTAATTTTTATGAGTAGGTAGAGCTAGCTTGGTTAGGCTAGGGTTGCGAGTAAAAAGCTGGTGGAGTACTGCACATAAAGCATTGACGCTATACATGCGGTCTTCGTAGCCATCTTTAAAAAAGAAGTGACAAACGGTTGAGGTTGTGACGTTCAAGGATAGTCGACGTTCGTCAATGAGCGCTCGTGACAGAATCGATTTTCCACATCCAGGTCCAGCAGAAAGCCATAAAAGTCCAGACGTGTTGCTATCGCGCCATTTGCAGAACTTTTCATCGTTGAAGAACCATTCACACGTGCCTTGGACTCTGAGACGGTTAAAATCTTTGTATCCTTCATAATCGGAAGCCAGATCTTGTAGCAGGTCTTTTTCCGCCATGCTTTCGTAGTTCCCCTGGGTTCGTCTTTGGCTTTCATTAAGGACTTGTTGAATCTCTTTGAGAATAGCACTTGACTCTTGAATTTCACGTAGCTGACGGCCCCAGCGCTCTCGAATCTCGTTTTCGTTATCGTGAGAGATCAGGCTGCTATGAGCCTTTGATAAAGCTTCAATCTCACTTGCCTTTTCAGCCCAGTCATTCTCACCCGCCAGGTTCTGCCACGCCCGTGAAAGCTGGGTCTCTGAAAGATGGCATATAGCGCGGGCTTGGTATTCAATAATGTAAGAATAGAGCTTCGCCAAAGGCTCGACAAGGTTTTCGTAGTGTTGCCGGTGGGAAGAGGACAGGTAGGTCTCTTCGAAAATTGCCCAATAGAGTTGAACGTCGCTGATCGAGTTGAAACCCTTCAGCATAGCTTCATCTGGTGTGACAAAGCTTGTCAGTAGCTACAGATACATAAGCATGCAATTCAGAACAAGAGACGTCAAACTCACAGGAAGAAGAATAGAAACACTGGACCATGCAAGCGCCGCATATGGTTGAGTGCTCACAGCACTTTTGACAAAAGGATCAGCCCATAAGAGAACTTTCGCTAGTCGCTCAGCTTCCTTTCGGATAATGAGATTATTCCCTAGGAGAGGAAGCCGCCATTGTTTCTTCTCTCGGTCTTCCAGCAGCTGCTTCACGACATCTTCGGCAAATCCCGAGCTTGAGATACGTCTTTTGGTGGTGGGGTTACCTTGTATAGAGGCCAGGTGGCTCGCGTAATCTGTCATCAACTCTGGCTCTCGATTCTCAGCTACTTCGTAGGCGCGACTCCATATGTCGATGTCCTGGGTTGCCCTTGTAGACGGCGCGAGCGGAGAACATGCAGAGGTCGAGGGAGATGCTGCAGCGTGCCCAGTTTGTAACTGTGCGGCACTCGCAGTGGGAGAAGCACTAGGAGCCACCACTGAAGGGTCTGTAGGCTGTACTGAGAGACTGGAAGCAGGTATTGAAATTGTAGAAGATCCGATCATCTCTGGCCCCACAAGCGAAGAAGGCGCGACCGTGCTGTTCCCCTTGGGATCACCGTTACTTGCCTTGGGGCGTTTGAATTTCAGAAGTCGCTTCATGTTTCCGAACACAGGTACGAGAATCTAAGCAATGGCTGGTAGAAATAGGGGCAGGGGTGGGATGGAACACTTGTGTCCTAAGCTGAGACAATTCGGGCATAGACGGTAAAGATGAGAATCCCTTGGAAGTGGCTTATGCTCAATAAGCATGTCGATATTCCAAGCTGGCCCCATCTTCGCTCAATGATTGGCGTAGAACTAGCGCCTGACATGTGCCCCTCCATTTAACGATGTAACCACATTAGGACAAGCAATTTGCAAGGCACTTTTATGTTGTACAGCTTTCCTGGTGAGGGAGACTGTTGGATTATCCCATTCCCATGGGTGCCTTGTCTTTCAGACTGAACCTTGTTTGCTGTTGGTGGTCTTTATAAAAGGCCTTTATCTTGATAGATCGAATGCAGCAGATTCTTCTTCCTGATGTTCACAGTAGCTCAGTTGCCGTAGCCTCAACAGGTTATGAGGCCCTTTTTCGACCCCTGAATTCATCAAGGTTCATCAAATATCTATAAAATTTGATAATTTTTATGAAAATGAGCCGCTGAGATGAAGGCAAATTCCGAATAGGCTAGTACAGAAACCTCAAAACTGAAAAGGATAAATTACGGGAGCCCGATGGCCTCTCCAGTAAAACACAACAGGACGTAGAGAGAGCAGTTGAGGTAACTACCAGGGCTGTTCATCACTAGCGTTGTGCCAATCACGCACTTAGGGGGCTCAAATTTAGTTTCACGGGTTATGGGCGTGGCGCATTAACTTCGCTCGTAAACATATATCCTAAGTTCATTAAACAAACCGTATTTAAATAAAGCTCTTCAAAAACCTCCATCCTATGCTAGGATCAGATTGGTCCTGCTGGGAATCGTCATAGCTGAAATTGGAATCCCGGTGATTGACCATCGTCCAAGGCAATGCTGAACAACTATCGGCGGGGTTGCCTATGTCCGAAAATATTGACGCGTCTCTGTCTCCAACAGGCTTCGTGTATCGCTGGAGAAATTGCAGCATCCAATGGTCCATTGTGAATGTCGTATTCATGCTCTGCTGACAAGCTTGATGGAAAGTCCATAGTCGTGACATCGACAGGTCGATGCTGGGCCAATATTGGCGTAGAAATATCATCATCTCAAAGTTCTGCTTAAGCATATGCTTCGCGTTGCCGAGGTTGGACTCATTATCGTCAAAGAGGAGGGAATGAAGATGCACTGAGGATGAGATAGCAAGAAGATGGCCGACCATCGGCCACGAACATTCACAACCTGGTGTCTGCTTCGCGATCCAAAGAAGGTCGCTGAGTTCAGCGGCATGCTGACGACAACGCCTGGCATATTCGTCTATCTTTGGATTGTTTCCCGCCGTATTGGAAATGCTTCCTTGCAGGAATTGATAGTATAGCAATTGACTAAAATGGTGGAAGCCGGTATGCAGAGCTGCAAGAATTCGACCGTGGCCCGTGGCGGCATACGATTTGCGTGCTTCGGGGGTAAAATGTAAGCTGCTTGGAAGATTCAGCTTCCAAGAATCAAGCTTGTATGATATTTGGTCGACGCGCTCGAATAATTGGTCATCAGTGAGGCGATTTTGTACGGTTAGCTCGTGGATTTCATTGATCGGGGCGATGACTTCGGTCAAAGGAATCATTTGTGCCCAGAGACCGTATCGATGCAGCCCAGCCTCAGCCGTGTCCGAAGGGGTTGTCATGGTCAAAGCTGGTCCTTCATGGCCCAGATTTTCAAAATCACGTTCCTCCATAGGGGCCGGAAAGTTCGGGTCAACGGTAAGCTGTCGCGGTATTCGAGCTCCAGCACTTGCCCAGTTGTCCAGCATCCAAACGGTCCACCAAACTGTAATGTATCAAATGAGATGAGGTGGGCCGGTTTTCGAGATGGACAAATCAGCTTACCTCGAATTTCCGTTTCTCGTTGGATGGCGCTACTGGAGAGTGCAACGGGCAAGCCTTTCAATTGGACCATGCGGATAGCTTGAGCACCATATAATGACTCCATTTCCATGTCGCCCTCGCCGAAAGCAATAGTGCAGAGCAAAACACAGGCTTGAATAGCAGCCAACGACACCGCTTCTGTGCGGCTGTCGAAAAGGCGCTTGCTGTGATAAGCCCAAACCCTTGCTCTTTCCCGCAGGTCGGAAGTCTCGAAAAATCTGCAGAAACTCGAGGTTATTAAAAGGATTCTAAAGGAATACCGGCCAAGGAGCCTTCCGAGCCCAGACAGCCTAGTAGCTCTCATGCCAACCAAAGGATAAGTCTTCAAATCCATACCGAGCTGCAAGAGCCAGTATGGCAAATATATGCATCATATCAGCCAACCCCTGGCGTTGATTTGTGATGAATGACGGCCGGTGGAACAAGGAGTGATCTTTATCATGAATGATGTCAAAATAGAGATCGACGAGTTTGCTGCAAACCTCGAAGCTGGGTAATATCTCTGAATAAACGTCACCTATCACAGAACTCGAGTCGGTCTTTGGCTCAATGGGTGCCACAATACTACAGCGTAACTTCAGGCGGAGGCATCTTCTGCAAGGCGACTCTTTCCCACCAGGGGGACACTTGCGTTTGCTTTCTCTGCCAGCCAATTGAGATGATGATCCGTTTCACTCAGTCATTTCTCTGCACTTACTGGCATTGAATACATGCATGCTGGGGTCTTCCTTGCTTGAAAGCGTGTGTGTTGAACGCCTTCCAGGTTCGAATTTGTGGCATAGCGGGGTGGAGTTGCTAGCTCGTTGTGGGTGGAATCCTTTTTATGTCCCTGAGAAACCACAATTAACGTGCAGTACTATTATGAATCTCCCACAGAGCTCAAATCTCCGGAAATTCGCCCATCCCTGTCTGATACCCCGCTTTTGCGACCGACACTACCTACGTATATAGGTAAGCCTCGTCCTTATCAGCCCCGTAGTTTCTAAGGTTCCAAGGTCGCGTGGCGTCAAGATAAAGGATTGAGCCCTATTAAAACGTTACAACATCCGGACATCGGAAGTATAATGTCCGCTGCGTGTAAATTCAGGAAAATGCGGTCTTGATTGAGTTGCAACGATGCTTCCATACTCCAATTTCCTTTTTCTTTTCCTATATCATCGCGACCAAAGTCTCATACGGCCTCAATCTGATTGCCACACAGTCCCCTTCCTCGAGTCTCAGCTCATTCCGGCCCTCGTAGTTGCCTAGCTTACTTACGATGGCATGAATATTCAACACTGTCGTTTTCATATCCTTTGACAAATCAAGCAAGAAAGCTAGCGCTTTCTGAGGGACGGTCCACCAGATCTCATCAACGCTAAAGCTAGCCACGACCAGGGCCTGACTCGGCACGGTCACTTGACCGTTGTCCGAGCCAGTAGCAGGATCGACGGCACGGATGTACGCGATGACGTCCTCGTCCATGTCCAAGTTCAGCATTTCGAAGCTGCCATAGATGAAGATGTCTAGGTACTGCTTCCGAATTTTCAGCACCCTTCGCCAGTGGTGAAAACTAGAGTTTTGGTCCGCCACTGCGTTGACCACGTTCCAGGTGGGATAGTCTGTGTGGATAGACATCCACGGTGCAGTGCTGTGAGCACCCTCAGGCATGAAGCCCGCACTTGGGCCTCGGGCATTCCACTGCATCGGCGTCCGGGCGTTGTCGCGTCCGACTGACCAGTATCGCTCGCGATACTTCATCTGCCTCTCAGGATCATCCGGATAGTTACGCAGCACCATCTCCCAATGATTCACGCACTCGATGTCTCTGTACTTGTCCATCCCCCATTCGCGGGGAACATTGGCCATCGCTAGCTCTTGGCCCTGATACAGGAAAACCGTCCCAGATTGGAGAGCGAGATGGTTGGCTAGCATCTTCGCCGAGATTGTCCGCAGTGCTGGAGAATCGGAAGCGTAACGACTGACAACGCGGCTTGTGTCATGGTTCTCCATGAACAACGCATTCCAGCCTGAATTGGAGAGCATAAACGTTTGCCATTTGTTGACGATCCTTTTGAGCGCTGTGGGCCGGAAGGTGCCGGGTTCAAATCTCCCTGTGGGCCCGAAGTCCATGGAGTCTCTAGGCGTATAACCGGGTCAGTCCAAGGGCATAGAACTGGATGGAAAGCATATCAAAGACAACAAGGCAAGTGTCTGGAAGGCGAAACCATCGAGGAAAAGGGTTGTTGCTCACATCTCGAAGTGAAATGCCATGGCCAATTCTCCGCGATCTTGGCCAACAGCTTTCAGAATATCCTCAGGCCCAGCATCTGGCATCTCGCCGACACTGAACGCATTATATTCACTGAGGATCTTTCCGATACCCTGCAAATATTCGTGCAATCGCGGACCGCAAGAAAAATGCTCAGCGCCGTTCTGCAAAAAGCCTGGCTTCTTGGGCTTAGCATCCGGTAGACCAGGCTCTTTTGAGATGTAGTTGATGACGTCCATTCGAAACCCGTCAACGCCGCGATTTAGCCAAAATCTTATCACATCATGTACTGCATCAACGACCTGTGGATTCTCCCAGTTCAAGTCGGGCTGCCCGGTCGCCCAGAGGTGAAGATAATATTCTTGCGTCATTTCGTCCCAGGCCCACGCGCTGCCGCTGAAGAAGCATTCCCAGTTATTAGGTGGAATACGTTCGCCTGTCTGCGGATCATGGCGGCTTGGTCGCCAGATGTACCAGTCTCGATACTTGTTTGTCACCGAAGACCGAGATTCCTTGAACCAGGGATGTTGATCAGAGGTATGGTTCACGACCAAGTCCATCACATACTTCATACCACGGTGATGGAGGCCTTCAATCAAGGCATCGTGGTCAGCCATCGTTCCATAGGGCGGGTCAATGTCCTTGTAGTCGGAGATATCGTAGCCCATATCAACTTGCGGAGATCGTAGTACGGGGGATAGCCAGACCATGTCGACACCTAACGATTTGATATAGTCCAATTCTGATATTATTCCCTGGATGTCACCAAGTCCGTCGCCATTGCTGTCTTTGAAGGAAGCAGGGTATATCTGATAGACTGAGGCCTCCCGCCATGGAGCACGCTTGATAGGTGGTATTTCTGGTCGCATTGTGATAACTTTTGGCGGACGCACTGAGACTAACGGGAGGGCTGCTTGGGCCTATTTCAAAACCTCTATGGTGACGGTTGTTGGGACGGAAAGTGGAATAATAAAGGAGGCGAAGCTTGCATAGTGGACATGGCCGAGGTCCGATCAGAGATAGCATTACGAACAATGATACGCCATCCCCACTCCAACATACGTGTGCAAAATCCAGCGGCGCGGAACTGTCTGGGTTCTCCTGAAACAAGTGCGCCCGTAGCGCCGAAGGGGGGTAGTTTCCATATATGCTTGTAACAGAAATCCCCACCTCTCCAAGAGTGTGCCCTTTGCGACGCAGATATAACACAAATTCCGGCTCAACTTCGTAGCCAATGATAATCCAAAAAGTAGTAGAAACACCCTCAATCAAAGGTATCACTAAGGGACAACCACAATCGAAGCCCCACGAGTTGAATCGTATCTACCAAGCCTGGGAGCTCCCACAGCAGGGTGAACCTTTCTCTAATGGAAAGGTATGCAGGGAAAGTATAGAGTAACGATGAGCAATGGGAACAGAGAAGGTTGCGGAAAAGCTTTGCTCTAATAGGAAAGGCGTGCGGGAAACACTTACAGGAGCGTTGAAAAACCTTCCTCTAATTTGAAGTATGTGTGGGGTATATATCTATGGATGTTAGAGTTGCGATAAGCCAAGATAAAAGAGAATGGTGCGGAAAAACCTTACTGTAATAGGAAAGGCGACTAAGGAGCGGGGAGCGCTCATTGGAGCGTTGAAAAACCTTAATTAGAAGTATGTCTGTGCGGGGTATATAATAGAGTTGCGATAAGCGAAGATAAAAGAGAAAGGTGCGGAAAAGACTTGCTCTAATAGGAAAGCCGTGCGGGAAATGCACCGTAGAGAAATCGCGCACTAGCTAACTGTTGAGCTACCCAGCCCATTAAGCGCGGCAGAAATGGAACTCTCATGAGTTTCGTATGTCGCTCTATCTGTCCCTGATAGAGAATGTATGACATCTTGTACTGGACCGAAGCAATGCCAATGACAGTATGGGACGTAACTCTCTTCTCTATGTATAAATGCCACAATGGCATCTCCACCTGCAACGATAATAACTTTGTTTCAACGGAAAATCCCAGTCCTCATCATCAACATTGTACCGTCAAAATGCGGCTCGTGAATGAGTCCTCCAATTCTGTCGGCCAGTTCGTACCTGAAAAGTCGTCTACGTTGATACTCCTAATCTTCCTGGTTGTTACGGTTAACTCACTGGTAAAGTCAAGTCCATTAAATCCAGTATCAATTTTCTGACCTCGGCAGACCCTAGGCTACGATGGAAATATGATGTGAACTATAACCTACATTTTCCAAGGAGCCACGCTGACAGGGTGATAGGAATGGCCTAATGATCCTCCCCTCTTTTTCCGACTATATGAAGTTGAACACTGCTACACAGGCTGCAACATCTGCCATCATGTGGATTGGTGGGGCAGCAATTGCACCATTTGGGGGTCCTCTCCTCGACATATTTGGTCGCAAGAAGGGCATTCTTGGAGCTGCCGCAATATCATTTGTTGGGGTTGCTCTGCAATCTTCAGCACAGAACGTCGCCATGTTCATGGCCGGTCGTCTCATTCTTGGAATGGGAGTTGGACTTGGGTCAATCGCCTGTCCGACCTACACATCCGAGATTGCGCCAACCAAATATCGAGCCTTTATGCTGGGGTTCTATTACGACCTTTGGTATTTTGGGGGTATCATTGCAGCATTGGTAACTTACGGATCAGCGCAGATCGAAAGCACCTGGTCCTGGAGGTTGCCCTCTGTCTTTCAGGTCATCCCCAGCATCCTTTGTGTGGTCTTGTTGCCTTTCGTTCCTGAGAGCCCTCGATGGCTCGTTGCTCAAGGCAAGGGCGAGCAAGCACTCAAGGTCTTGGCTATCACCATGTCCAACGGCAATACTTCACACTCAGAAGTACTTGCAGCTTACAATCAGATTGTGACGACTATTGCCTATCAGAAAGAAAACCCAGCTTCTCAGAGTTGGCTCGCAGCCGTAAAAACCCCGCCGAACCGGAGAAGAACCATGCTGGCCATATCTGTTGCCGTTATCGGTAATTTGAGTGGAAGCGCAATAGCATCGTGAGTCGTGGCTGGTCTAAGAAATCCGGACTGTTGCTGACTAGTGCGAAGTTACTGGCTGGGAAGCATGCTTAGTCAAGCTGGTGTGACAGACACACAGAGCCAACTACAGATCAATATAGCCCTAAACGTATGGTGCCTTGCATGTGCTGGCGCTGGTACATTACTCGCAGACAAGATTGGTCGAAAACCTCTTGCAGTTGGGAGCTTAACGTTCGCTCTCATTTTCCTATATCTAGTAGGAGCATTGACGAAAGGTGGATTAGGTTATGCGACTATTCTCAAACCCTGCTAACCATTTCGTGCAGTGTATGGATCTTCCACCAACACATCCGCGGTGTACGGCACTGTTTCATGCATCTTTTTGTTCCAAGGTGAGAGGAATGACAAGACGTGCCGCTACATACTAACAGTCTCCAGGTGGTTACAGCTTTGGATGGACAACATTACTTGTCATGTACCCGCCGGAAGTATTGAGCTTTTCGCTCCGTGCAAACGGCATGGCTATTTACACATTTGTCTCAAACGCTGCTGGGTCAGTACCAATTTCTGTTTACGTTTTACCCATTGCGCTCCATCTCTTCCCCTTTACCGCGCCCGTCTCTGCTTGTGGACGTGTTCATTGCTGACGGGTTCACTAAGAGTCTTTGCCACATTTATTATGCCCTTTGCGCTCAATAATATTGGCTGGAAAACATACATGGTCAACGCTTCGTGGGACGTCTTGGAGGTTGCTTTTGTAGCCTTTCTCTGGGTGGAAACAAGCAAGCGATCGCTTGAGGAAATTGACGAAGTCTTTGAGGGGAAAATACATCTCGGCGCTGAGAATATCATGCAAGGCTACGATATTGAGCATGCAAAGACCCCATGTGTGCAGGTCCATACACTGCGTCCTAGCAATGAAGTTTGCGAGGATAAAGAGGCAGGTGAACTGGAGAAGGATGCTAAGTTCCAGCAGTGATATTACCGTTTCTACTCGGTTGCTACAACACAAGTAATATGGGCGGCGACTACGTGTAGAACTCTAAATACCACTAATCATCGGAGTTTCCGGACTATTTCCGTCTTACGACCGGATTGGCCGAGCTCTATACTTATTCCATCTTTGCAATTGATATCACATCCACAGAAAGCATGCGCTTGTCGATGCAAGCTGTGCTGGACCTGATGCATTATATCGACTCTGTGAATGATTTGCTTCTACAGAGAATCAATTTTATCAATGAGATAGACAACCTTGTTCATCTTCGGGCTCTCAGACTCAATCTCACTGAAAGATGTTCTTGTCCACTTAGTGTATTCAATGATACTCTCACAGGTGCCTTTCGACAAGCATGTGGCGTAACTCTATCAGATGGCTTTGACGTTGAGCACATCTCTACAGATCAAAATCCAGAATTCTTCATTGGCAATGGGATCAAGCCCGGAATTGCCCGAAATTTCGTAGTGAATATTCTTGCAATGGTACAGAAGAATTGTTGGCGTTGGGTGACTCTCCGACGTTCTTATTTTCGGTCTGGCTTGGATGCATTTGTTAAGATATAGAACACAGCAGTACGTCCTTCCCATAATAAGTTCAGGGCGCGTTATTTGTTTTTTTTTTGAGTCAATCGAGCGTTTGGATAACGTAAGGTGCGGGAGATTTCCTAATCGTATACTATTATCCAGGTGTTGTGGCATCCTATACGCTCGGAGGTTGACTTGTGTTTCTAGCCCAACAGGTCTGTTTTTCGAAAGTGTCTCTTTCTTCCTCTTTTATATGTGGGAAGACCCCGTTTTCTAAGTTCGGAGAATTCGAAAGCAGCATCGAATGCTTCAAGATTTGTCCAGCCATCCTTTTTAATAAGACCTTCAATACTGTCAAAAATTGTCCTGGACCTCATTTCAGCCTTCGGCTTCAACGGAGTGGCTTAAGGATACTACCAAGTAGGAGGTATTCAACGAGTAGACTAAAACTGCTCTAAAAAGAGGGTCGCGTTAGAAGAAGCGACGAATCTCCCGAGGTCTTGGCTTTGATGGTGAGAAGGACATGTTTTAGTAATATGTTTGCTACTTTATCGTAAGATATGTATCTTCGAGATGGTTGAAAGATAAAATAGTATCTGTTATGTGGGTCAAAGCTAACACCATGAGGCCTGAAGATCGGGGGAAACTAGGGTTGGCCTCGCACGTGACTGTCAGTGCTAACATAAATCAAACGTCACAACGGATTTGGAAGCTATTGCAAAATATTTACATATGGAAGTGGAGAGTGAGATTAAAAATATGAAATAATCATGTTTATTTCATTCATCGTACGAATATCATTATCATGTCTCAAACAATTCCCATAGTGGACCTGAGAACTGAACTAAACTCCCTGTGCAGGGAGGATGTAAATGCAAAGAGTACTTTTTGTACCGTCTCTTGGGGAAAAGAAAGCCGCTGGAAAAACAGAAGGAAAAAAAGAAACAGAGAGGTATCATATAAGGAACGCCAAGAGGTATGCAGTGGAAGGAGTTCAAGGAAAGATCAGACAACAGGCGTCAACTGGGTGTGCAAGGCCTGTGAGAGGGCCTCCTCTTGACGCTTGCGCTCCATCTCCATCAAGTACTGGGCATACTTGGATCGAGGATTGTGAATACCACACTCGGTCTTCTGCTGTCCCTTCCAGCGACCAGAGCGCTCGTCCTCTCCCTCAGCAACGGGCTGGGTGGAGTGCCAGTCACCAATGCTCTTGTAACCACGGTCAAGGAGCTCGTTGTAGGGCACATCGTTCTCCTTGACGTACTGCTTGACCTGGTCAAAGGACCAGTTGGCCATGGGGTTGATCTTGATGAGGCCGGCCTCGTCAACTTCGATGATGTCGAGATCACCACGCTTGCCGCCTTGGCTGCGGCGGCGACCAGTGAGAACGGCGTGAACATTCATTTCACGATAGGCACGCTGAGCGGGCTCAACCTTGGCCACCCAGTCGTAGAGTTGGTCGTCGACCTCCCAGAGCTTGGTGCCGTACTTGGCTTCGAATTCGGCAGTGGTCTCGACCCCAGCGGGCTTGTAGATGTGCACATTGTTGTTGGGGTACTTGCGGCGCACACGGTCAACCAGGGACATTGTCTCATCGAAGTGATAGAGAGTGTCGAGGAAGACGAGATCAACCATCTGGGGACGAGGCACCTCCAGCTTCGACAGCATGTCCAAGGTGACAAGACCTGTGAGACCAAAGGCAGTGGTCTGGAAGAGATGAGGAAGCGAAGTAATGCACCATCTCAAGATCTCTATAAGGAGGAGTCAGATAAAAGGTCTTCGGAAAGAGGGGTCGTAATTGATATCAGTACTGACCTTGAGGTTCAAGGAACTGCAACTGGCGGTTGAGGAACTGAAGATGGGGCTTGGTGAAAACAATCTCGGGGACATAGTCCTCCTCGCTAGAGCCAGAACCAGCACTGACATAGCCTGACTCAGTCATGTTATCATGATTGTCAACGCCCTCCATCTCTGAAGAGTAGTTGGTGGGCATCTTCGCCGGCATAATGTAAGGTAGTATGGCACAGAGATAACCTTGGCAAAGAGAAGAAATGATTGAACAAAGAATTGGCTATGAAGAGGTAGAGCGGGAGTATGAAAAACAAAGTCACAGATGACAATGGGGGCGAGAATATAAGAAAAGCAGAGGCAATCACATCATCCGGACATCCGTCCCTAGCATGCTCTTCATCCGATATTCTTCATTTCAAAGACTCAACGACGCAATTGGTCAGTTGCCAAAGTGGGGAATGAAAACCGCCCAAGCACGCCATCGATTGCGATTGCGTGCTTGAATTGTTTTATCTCACCGCCTTCCCAATGCGGAGACAGTGTCATCTCGAGAAGGCGGTATGACCACAGGAGACGTCGGGTCAGACTGGCAGAATATCGGAGTCGATTCTGCCCATGTTCTTGGAGCCCTGGAGAGAATGGCGTAGAATGTCATTTAGGGTATTGATTCCAACCCTGGAAGATTACCCCCGGATATTGGTAATGGACGCTGACCAACCCAGTCGATGATAAATAACTCCGATTATTGGGGGTATCAAGGTTTGGATCCATATCTCCTAAATCATATAATGTTAGCAGGTTTCTTAATCCCCAATAAACCTGGACATACCTACCATCCTGACTATCATACTATGTATTCTGTACATATATTGGATAACGTATTATACCCATGAATAGAACGATCTGGCTCTGAAGTCATCGTGGATCTGGATGAGGTGCTAATCCCAAAACTGAGCTCATCTAATCTTGGAGGTGGTCCATCTTTTGTGACCCACTACACTGTCAATTCTGCCAGGCGGTGACATACGGAGCGAACCGACATCACGTGCATCGTCGGTGGGACCCACGTGCCGATCGGAGTGGTTTTTGATCTTCGGAAATGTGGTATCTCTCGAAATAGCCTCAACTCGCAAATAACTATTTACTAGATCCCTTCACTAGCTGTGCATTATGGCAGAGTCTACCCGCACCACGAGGCCGTCCCTCGGCCAAATGCGCAGCGGTTCATTCCTGCAGGACCATCAGCAGTACAAGCCGATGGCTCCAATCAATCCAATCAGTCAAACCATCGGCGAGGTTCTGGCTAACCAGACGGAAGATAACCTGGTGCTTAGCTCGAATCCAATCAAGCCAGACCCGGAGAGGGTCACCGACAGCGGCATCATTCACAGTATTTTCAACCATCAAACAAATCCTCTTCCAACCGGGACATCGCAAATCGTCGCGACCATCTACTACAAATCTAACAACCCCGTTCACCCCCACTACCACCCCGATTCAGGGCCCCAGAATGTCCCAGGCGACAAGCTCCCAACTCCCAAGGTTCCCGAAGGCTCTGCCCCGACGGAAGACATGGATAAATTCCCACGAGAGCCGCCTGCCCCAGAGCCGGAGCCACTGGATCACCTGTATGGGCCATACGTCTCCCAGATGTGCTTGACCAACTTCCTTCAGATATTGGAAACCCTACCAACGCCCTATCAGCGCATGAACACCTCGCACCGTTGTCTTGACCGCGACGAACACCCCCGCGTCGTGGAGGTCACATTCTCTCCCCCGCCAAACCCGGAATATCTCTCGTTCCCGGATCTGCGCAAGCATGAGAGCATCTGGCGCTTCGAGCGCGAGTGGAATGTCGAAGTTGTCCTGCAAAAGGAGAGCGTCTTCCGTCGGCACAAGCGCTTGGCTGTGTTCGACATGGACAGCACATTGATTGACAACGAGTGCATTGACGAAATCGCCAAGTTCATCGGTGTTGAGAAGGAGGTTTCCGTAAGTTCTTCTTGTCGAAACTTCAAGTCTCTATGCCAGTGGCTAACATTGATGCAGGAAATCACTGAACGCGCCATGAACGGCGAACTAGACTTTACCGCATCACTAAAGGAACGCGTTGGTCTTCTCAACGGCGTCTCCGCGGACGTCTTCGAGAAGCTCAAGTCCGTCCTGAAAATCGCCAAGGGCGCTCGTGAGCTCTGCCGCGCATTGAGGGCTCTGGGCTACAAGACTGCGGTTGTGAGCGGCGGGTTCCAGCCCCTCGCCGAATGGCTCGCCGGCCAGCTCGGCATCGACATTGCCATTGCCAACCACGTAAGAATCTCGTGTATATCTTACTATTTTCATTTCATCCGATCTGACCTTTCATCCTTTCATCCAGCTCGAAATCGACGAGACCACCCAGACCCTGACCGGGAAGTTGGTTCCATCCTACCCTATCGTCGACGCCGCGCACAAGCGCACTCTCCTCAAGTCCATCGCCGCCGAGCATGGCATCCCCCTCTCGCAAACAATGGCCGTCGGCGATGGCGCCAACGATCTTTTGATGCTCCACGCCGCAGGCCTCGGCGTCGCCTGGCGCGCTAAGTCCAAGGTCCAGTTGGAAGCCCCCGTTCGCATCAACGGCGAGAGCCTTGTCGATGTCCTCTACCTTCTCGGCATGGACAACGAGGACATCGCCGAGCTAACCTCCGACGTGCAATAAGTCCTTGAGTA